TAAGCAAATGCAGTAGATAATAGAGAAAAGAAGAAATCTATTTTATTGACTTTTTCCACGTGACAACGACTGACATATTTAGAGATTATAGCAGTGGCGAGTCGAAGAATTTTTAAAGGGAACAGGTGCGGTTGAGCAAAAGGGAGGGCAGTTACGATAAAAAAAACAATATTTAGGAGAAAAATTGCTTGAAAGTAGCATAAAATCGGTTCTAAAGTGGGAGGACCGTCACCCCATCTCATCCGCTGTAGGTTCGCCCCTGAATTATAAATTTCTATCTTATTTCATCTTGTAGTATATTGTTTATATACATAATGTTCAGTGTGTGTATCTAACTGTCTGTATCGGATTAGAGATTAAAGGCTAAAGGTCAAAGGTCGCAAAACTACAAGGGGATAAGGGGAGAGGCTACAAGGATATAAGGCTATAAATGGGTAACAAGACGATGAACCTATAAGGTCGATTTATATATATAATGCGCAGTGTCTGATTGGGTATTTTCGGGGTCAAGATTAAAGCATGGATGTGGAAATTTACGGGAAAAAACAGCCGTGCAATATGCACGGAATCTCGCTACTGAACTAGGTTTTATAAAATAGGCAAGCCTAGACTGCCTCATCAGCAGTTCAATACTCACCTTCGTCTGGTCAATTTGCACAAAAATATGCTGTCTTCGTTAAAGGGAAAAAACAGAAGTGACGGACTCCTTTCTCACATACAATAACAACCAATTTTTTTTCTTTCTTTCTCCACCCTGATTTCCATCATGCAATGAATGATGAAATAATAATGATTCTAATCGATGTTTCTACATGGCAACCCTATCTGAATTTTGAATAGAATCAATAATACGCACAGTGTAAACAAGACCTGTTCGTATGAAAAATAAATTCAATTTTTTCGAATAGAGTAGGTGATCGACACTCCACTGGCTTTTTTAAATAGATTAAATTTCTGACGAAAGAAGTGCACAGGTTTTCATGCTGCTATCAGAATTGAGTTGCTTGGTAGTTTTTTGTATATACTTCATCAATATTATCCAAACAATCGAAATGAAAGTTCACTAGACGATACTTTCAAAAACATTTATTTCCACATCAAATTTGCGTTGCTTCAAGATAGTCATGGTCTTTTGTAAATACTGTTGATGGACATCGTATGTACATATGTTTTCTAATAAATGTAACTCGTTTATTCCAATCTTAGATGTAATATGTAATGTTCGAAAGTTGAAAAGCAAGAACTCAGGTACGGGTATGAGGTATTGGGTGTAGGGGCTGTGAATGTGGGTGAGGTGTGGGTGTGGCTGTGCGGGAGTTTGAGTATAGCTATGAGGGCGGTGCGGGTGGGTGTGAATGTTGCTCTGGTGTTTGTAACCTACATTCCACCCACAACAACAACCACATCTATAGCCACATCTCACACCCCACACTCCATTCAGACACCCACAACTCACCCACACTCCACCCACACGCGTATTCGCAGCCACATCCACACTCCACTCAGACACCCACATCTCATCCACACTCCACTCACACCCATATCCGCACCTACACACACCCATATCCACACCTACACACACCCATATCCACACCTACACACACCCATATCCACATCCACACCCGCACCCATACCCGCACCCACATCCACACCACACCCCACAACCACACCCTCACCCACCCCATGAATTCCAATACCACAAAGTTTGAACACATTGACATAGGGTACACAATGATGAAAAATAGAGATTCAATGCACTTATGCACACAAATTGCTTGTTTACGTCCATCTTAACTGGACGTCTTGTTAGCGCTTTGATCGGATGGGTGAATTCCGGGGGGGAATAAAAACACAATGGTTTTTGTGGACTATAAAAGCAACCTCAGTGTTCAATTTGTATTGTAATGATATAAGAATTATAGGGAGAGAGAGATGGATTATTCAATAATTACTCGATTAGAAGATTTACCCGTGGAAGTTTTAATGGAGATATTTGTTTATTTTACGGTTGGTGAGGTTTATTTGTCATTCTCTCAATTAAATAATCGTCTTAATTTAATTCTCAAATCATTACCCAACTTGGTCGTTGTAATACACAAACATTTAGATTCTTCTGTTCTTTCTTTCTTCTCCTCATTTAATAAAATTCTCGTCAAGTTTCATAGACGACATATGTATTGTAATTGTCAATCCCATCCTATAAACGGTGGTAATCGTTTATATGAAATTTATCCGACATGGGATATCGGATGGTTTCCTCATTATTCTAATGAAATTGAAAATATAATTCGTTCTGATATTTATTCTCGATTGCAATCATTAGTTTTACCAGCTGCTTCATCTAAATTGACACAACTCATATTTCGTGGTGAATTTCCTCGTTTGAATATATGTCATCTTGGTAGATGCGAATTAATCATTCTTCCATTATCGATGACCATTCCCTTACAAAATCTTCGTCAATTAACTATCCGTACACGAAGACAAAATGGTTGCCAATTTGAAACAATTTTATTGGCTTGTTCTTCTTTAATGCATCTTGATTTCTCATGTGATGATGTTATTCCTTCATTTATTTTTATAAATCATTGTTTTCCATCTATGAAATATCTTCGACTTGGTCGTCTTAAAAATTTATTTTTTCACAATGGTCAATTCGATTTTCTTCTCTCAATCTTTCCAAATCTTTTACAATTTCAGTTAACTGCTAATCAATGTCGTGAAAATGTTGAAACAATCAAATTTAGAGAAATTGCGCATTATCTACGCCATCGATGTCCATCACTGAAAATATTAGTTTTATGTATTTATGCAAGGACATATGCGTTGGTCTTTTTCTATAGATAGATTTAAGGAGATCACCAAGATGCATTCTCTTTTCAATTATATGAACAAATGTGATTCGCGTCTAATAATAACTTCACATGGTTTTATTCAGCATCAAGTTTACTCGTATCGATATGCTCGTCCTTCATGCAGATGATCATATTCAAATGGTAGATATCTATATTTAGCTTATTCGTTTTTGACTATTTCATTTACATGTCATTCGTATGTATTGTTTTCTGATTCTATTAAAATAGAGACCTAAATATTTATTAAAGTTTGGAATCTTTATCTTATCTAAACACTTTATTAAATATAATTTAATAAAAACTTCTATGAAATAGAGCTCATAATTAATCGAATTTCTTACTGATCGAGGTATTAACACGTAAGTCATATCTTCTTAGACGTCGATCAGATTTTAATTGTTGATAAAAATAAAAAGTTTATCGAATAAATATATTAATCATATTTCAAGAAAATAACAATATCTCATAAAATCGAGAAATTGTTCCATTCTCAGCAGAAATATTTCATTCTGTACAAAGTCAAGAAGAAATGCTTTTATTAAAACAACATCAGTCGCTATTTCAAGCCATTTACCACAGAAGAAATGGATTATTCAAATAAGAAATGCCTCATCTATTTCTACCTTCATAAGTTAGAGTTTAAAGCACATAGAGAGATATCAATCGTTTAATAAAAATGTCAAATATTTATTTGTTTGTATTTCTTCATTTAAGACAAATATAATAAATATAGAACAAAAAAAGAAACTTTCATAGAAAAGTGATTAATGAATAATATAGAAATTCATCTATTTATAATGTATGTAGAAAGTAAAGAGATGATGAATAGGTATTCAATCATTATTCGTCACAGTTAATAAACGAACAATCAACATAGTGGTTAGATTTTCATCCGATGGAACTATGTCATTTGATAACAACTACGAAAATTTTAATAACTGAC